CATACGGAAAAGGGCAGCTTCCAGCCTTTCTAGGCAAGCCTGATTCCCCCATTGATGTTGTAAGTTTACATAAACAATATATAATGTGTGAGAATATTATGCTAAATTCACGGGAGTAAACAGTTTTTGAAATTTATTGATTGTTCAATTTTACGAATATAAGAACTTCAAGTTTAAAATAAATTTACCTTTGGTAATTTACTTCAAAATTGAGAAAATTACAATTTTTGTCCCTCAAGTTTGCACTGATTTCACATTTGGTCCCTCATTTTCACAAAAACCATATTTGGTCCCTCGTGTTTCAAAAATTCAACATTTTTAGTCATATCCGTCAATTTTCCATTAGTACTAACGGATTCAAGCGTGTGCCCATCACTTTCTTAACAAATGGAGTAATGGTAAATTGATGAAAATGACCAAAACTGTTAAATTATTGAAACATGAGGGACCAAATGTGGTTTTTGTGAATATAGGGGACCAAATGTGAAATCAGTGCAAACTTGAAGAATGAAAACTGTAATTTTCGCCTTCAAAATTATTGAATATGATATTTCGAAAAATCCTATTTTAAGTACATGATTTCGTTTCTTCTGGATAATTATGGATAATCGTTCGTTGTCTTTGACTAATATTTGTTACCAGATTCCGTTGGATATTGTCGTAAATGGAACAATTGCAGCGATAGCAAAGCACGGTTATATTCAAAAGCCGGAGTTGAATGTGTACCACATGTCATCTAGTGTCACGAACCCATTACGATACTCGGAATTTTTCGAGTATCTTTACGAATATTTCAGTTCGGAACCTTTGGTAGAATCCGAAAGTTTAATTAGGGTGAACTACTATGATGATATTGAAAAAATTAAATATTTCGATAATTTCAACGATTTCTCGAAATATACACGAGAAGAAATATCTCGACGTGCTGGACAAGGAAATGTAGTAGGAACCGAGAAAGCAAAAAAGCAGTGCAGAGCAAAGATCATGTATGCTGAGCACTTGTGCAAGATGTATGAATTCTTGGGGCACTTCAAAGCAAGGTATGAATATGCATGGACAAATTGCACTTTGCTCCCTATACTTTTTTAGGATTTTCACTTCCATCCCAAAAAAAAAAAAGTGACAGTCTCCCTTCAAAATGTTTTACTTCATTGTTTTTACACATGGTTAATGCATTAGTTTAGTAAATGCACTCAAGTATCAAGAAATGTTCTTGTCTGAGTTTTTTATCTCGAAATCAATAAGCCTTAGTTAAGGTATACTAAAATAACTTTAAGGTCCCTGAGATATCGATAATTACAATCGCCGTGTTAGAAACCCTAACAGAATAATGCGTTGGATAACTTATCCGTCAGGGCTATAACAGACTATTAGTTTCAGGTAATGATGGAGACAACATAGAGCTCGGGGCTGACATGGTTGCCCTAACATTTCTTAAATCTTTATTATTTATATATAAGATTTATAAATTTTCGTATGTGGTAGCACTAACAGCCCCGCGGAAAACAAATATAGTGTATATCGGTCTCCAGCATGAAATCTTGACTCTAGTAACTGCTTCAGGCGTCCGACTATAAATACCAATATCACAAGAACCTTAAAGTTATTTTACTACGCCTCACCTCAGGGGTGTAGGTGTAATATACCCTTATTATTATTATTATTATTTTTTTTAAAGGTTCCATGCTGGCAACACTCAGAAGTTATTGTATGAAATGTCAAAGGAAGAGGTGGATAATTTTGACATTGATGTATCAAAGATAGAGTGGAGGAAGTATTTTCAAGAAGTTCACATCCCTGGTTTGAGAAAGCATGTGCTTAACGACAGAAGTATACATGTCTAAGCAAATATGTAACCCTGTTTTTTTTGTGTTATGTGTTAAAAGTTAATTTGTAATCAAAAATTAATATTTTAGAATTATTTAGAAAAGCACGGTTCATCTTCTATCATTAATGTGGAGAATTCTCTGGAGACTTATCTTGCTTTTTAAATACACCTTGTACTAGTATTTGGAATATCAAGAAAAACAATTAAAAGAGCAGCAACTCAATTGTCCCCTAAAACCTCCATTCTTTTTTGTTCATATTCCTCCTTCTTTATCAACAATATTCTTCCATATCAAGAGCAAATCCATTTATCGATCTTCCGCTATGCCAACAACTTATATATATATAAATACCAAAAATTTATATATATATATATGTAATTGTATAATTGGAAAAAAAATTGAATTTTGTGATCTTTATTTATTTGAAAGACCTAATCTTTGCTTTCGGCACTGCCGACAACATAACACCCCAACAACTTGGCAAATTGGCCAACTCGTTGGCCAACGGCTCCGGATGCAGCAGAAACGAACACATATTCTCCCTTTTTCGGAGAACAAATCGCATAAAACATTTCACATTAGGTCTATCATGTTCACAAAAAATACATTTCATTCGTCATATTTCAATATATAATTCAATATTTTTAGTCGTTTCCGTCAAATTTCCGTACGGAATCAAACGTGTGCTTATCACAACCGTAACTGACGGACTAACGGTGAATTGATAAAAATAACTAAAAGTGTCAAATTATTGAAACACAGAGGGATCAAATGTGTTTTTTTATGAACACGGTGGACCAAATATAAAATCGTTGCAAACTTGAGGGACAAAACCTGTAAATTTCCCATAGACCAAACATAGTTCTCTGAATCCTCCCCATACCAAGGTACAACCAGGTGAATCACATAGTACAAATTAAACACCAATAAAAGAAAAAGCCAATCAGAAAATACAAACCGAACCAGGGGTAAAAGAGTCAATGTAGCTGCTGTCCGTTTTCGCCATGCGGCCGCGCATGTAAGGGTCGCAAGACAAGTACAGATTCTTGAACAAAACGGCGTCGTTGGAGCATTCCTCTGGGATCTTCAGTTTAACAATGGAGTTCTTCAGTATATGTATTGTGTTGTGTGTGTAATTCTGTAGATGTTTTGGTATTTATGTTTGAGATATAGCAAAAATGGAAAAAAATACATTTGTTATGTTTATTTTAGGTAGTGGAATTTTAGCAAATCATATTTTTCTACTTTGCTTAAATATTAGAGCATCTCCGATGCTAAACTCAAAAGAAACTCTGAAAGTACTAGATGTTAATTACCAAATATGAATTTTAAAATTTTATCTATCCTATTTGGCAAAATTTAGATTCTCTGCTGGCTGCTGATGCTACACCGGGTGAAATACACGGGGTAAACTCAGAAGAAACTCTAGAACAAAAATCTCAAAATATCCTATGTGCATTCTAAGTGTCAGAGATTGAGTTTATCATTTGATGATGCTAATTACTAGCTCACCTATGGTGGTGTAGAAAACGAACTGGGAGAGCAAAGCAGATCAGTAGCTTGACAACTTGATGATCCTGAGGTACCTGCGATCATAGAACACGTGAACTAGGCCGGGGGTTGATCCGGCGGAAACCCCTCCGACGCTCAAGTCAGACGTGCTGATAGTGGAAATAGTCCAGAGAATACGTATTGTAGTATTGCTCAGTTAATAGGACGTACCTTAATAAAATGAGGAAAACCTCTATTTATATGTCGTTTATTGGGTTGGGTTTGCTTTGTTGGGCCCAAGCCTTACTTGAAGGTGTTTGGGCCTCGGTGATATTGGTCTTCAATATTGGGCTCGTGGCCCAGTAGGTAAATAACTTGTAGGCCCATTGGGTTGGCCCAATTAGGCATATCATTAAGCCCCCCACTCTCGAGTCGATGTGGGGGCCATGTCGAAATGGGTTCTCAATCGTGTCGAGAGTGAAAATTGTAGTGTTCGTTCTTTGGCATATGGCCTGATGGTGTGCGAAAATGCATTGGAGCGTGTGTCGGAGGGGCGTGAATGCGCGTTGGCGCGACTAAGTTGTCGCTATGTAAGTTATTTGAGTCGTCGGTGTTGTCTCGCGACGATGTAGTAGCGAATTGTCTCCTCGTGGGAGTTGTCTCGTCGCGGGGTAATATAGTTGATCGAGTTATCTCCTCGTGGGAGTTGTTTCGCGATAATGTGGCAGCACGGATCAAGTAATCTCCTCGTGGGAGTTGTCTCGTCGGGGGGTAATAGAGTTGATCGAGTTAACTCCTCGTGGGAGTTGCCTCGCAACGGGTTATATGACTGAGCAAGTTATCTCCTCGCGGGAGTTATCTTGCCGCCGGTTGTAGTACCGAGCGAGTTGGCTCCTCGTGGGAGTTGTGTCGCTGCGAATTGTGGGACAGAGCGAGTGGTCTTCTCGTGGGAGTTATTTCGTTGTGGTTATGAGACCCGAGGGAGTTGGCTCCTCGTGGGAGTTATCTCACAACGGGTTATAAGACGGAGCGAGTGGTCTCCTCGTGGGAGTTATCTCGCTATGGTTTCGTAGACCCGAGGGAGTTGGCTCCTCGTGGGAGTTGTCCCGCTACAGGTTGTAGTTCCGAGCGAGTTGGCTCCTCGTGGGAGTTGTCTCGCTACGGGTTCATAATACCGATGGAGTTGACTCCTCATGGGAGTTGTCTCGCAACGAGTGTGTAGGGCCGAGCGAGTTTGCTCCTCGTGGGAGTTATCTCGCTATGGCGTTGAGACCCGAGGGAATTGGCTCCTCGTGGGAGTTGCCTCGCGACGGGTTATAGGACAGAGCGAGTATTCTCCTCGTGGGAGTTAACTCGCTATGGTTTCGTAGACCCGAGGGAGTTGGCTCCTCGTGGGAGTTGTCTCGCTGCGGGTTGTAGGACGGAGCGAGTTATCTCCTCGTGGGAGTTGTCTCGCTGCGGGTTGTAGTTCCGAGCGAGTTGGCTCCTCGTGGAAGTCGCGCGTGCACAGCACGCGCGCGTGGCCTACACGCGCCAGACGCGCGCGTGCACTGCACGCGCCAGCAGCAAAAAAAAAAAAAAAAAAAGGCCAGTACGCGCGCGTACACAGCACGCGCGCGTGGCCTACACGCGCCAGACGCGCGCGTGGCCTACACGCGCCAGACGCGCGCGTGGCCTACACGCGCCAGACGCGCGCGTGCACGGCACGCGCCAGCAGCAAAAAAAAAAAAAAAAAAAAGAAAAGGGGAAGAGGAGCGCGCCTTCCCATGCACGCGCGCGCGCCACCCAAGGCAACCTTGGAGCGCGCGCTCCCATATAATTGGGCACAACTTTCACCGCCTTCCACCAAATTGCGCGTAGATTTTGACTCGCTTCACCAAATCGCATGAGAATTTCAACGCGTTCCACCAAATTGCGCGAGCTCTTTAACGCACCTACCAAATTGCGTTCGCTATCAAATGGAGAAAAAAAAAATTATTTCTCCACACCATGCCAACGATTAACGCAAGAATACAACACCGATCTACTCTCGACAAGATCCGGTACCCTTTTCAACGTGGCTCCCACATCCTCTCGAGAGTGGGGGGCTTGCGAGACAACTCCCACGAGGAGCCAACTCGCTCGGAACTACAACCCGCAGCGAGACAACTCCCACGAGGAGATAACTCGCTCCGTCCTACAACCCGCAGCGAGACAACTCCCACGAGGAGCCAACTCCCTCGGGTCTACGAAACCATAGCGAGTTAACTCCCACGAGGAGAATACTCGCTCTGTCCTATAACCCGTCGCGAGGCAACTCCCACGAGGAGCCAATTCCCTCGGGTCTCAACGCCATAGCGAGATAACTCCCACGAGGAGCAAACTCGCTCGGCCCTACACACTCGTTGCGAGACAACTCCCATGAGGAGTCAACTCCATCGGTATTATGAACCCGTAGCGAGACAACTCCCACGAGGAGCCAACTCGCTCGGAACTACAACCTGTAGCGGGACAACTCCCACGAGGAGCCAACTCCCTCGGGTCTACGAAACCATAGCGAGATAACTCCCACGAGGAGACCACTCGCTCCGTCTTATAACCCGTTGTGAGATAACTCCCACGAGGAGCCAACTCCCTCGGGTCTCATAACCACAACGAAATAACTCCCACGAGAAGACCACTCGCTCTGTCCCACAATTCGCAGCGACACAACTCCCACGAGGAGCCAACTCGCTCGGTACTACAACCGGCGGCAAGATAACTCCCGCGAGGAGATAACTTGCTCAGTCATATAACCCGTTGCGAGGCAACTCCCACGAGGAGTCAACTCCCTCGGGTCTACGAACCCACAGCGAGGCAACTCCCACGAGGAGCCAACTCACTCGGTACTACGAACCCGTAGCGAGACAACTCCCACGAGAAGCCAACTCGCTTGGTACCACAACCCGCAGCGAGACAACTCCCACGAGGAGCCAACTCGCTCGATACTACAAGTCTGTTGCGAGGCAACTCCCACGTACAACCACCTCGCTCGATAATAAGACTCGCTGCGAAACAACTCCCACGAGGAGACAACTCGCTCAGAGCAACCTCAATCCGCACGCTCCTCAATCGCGCGTCATCCAATGCTCCTACAACTTCGCTGCAAGACAACTCTCTTGAAGAGACAACTCGCTCGCAATGCACTACATAATCGCAAGCTCAAGTTAGCACGATTACAACCCTAGAAACACTTAGAGATATTATGAGAATCTATATAGCCTGCCCAGCTTGATTACTCAAAATTTATCTACTTGTTTTCGATGGGTCCTTCATTAAAACGTGGCCACGGTCCAAACATACTTACGACCCACGAGGTCTAACAAGGGGCACGATTCCCATAAAAAAACTCTTGAGAGCCTGATCCCCTCCTCAAGTACATCACGCACAAGGCTATATGTAAACACATACAAGCAACGCGTCAAAAACATTGACAATGTCGATAAATAACAACTCCCACGAGGAGAATACTAGCTCCGTGCTACTACATTATCACGAGACAACTC